AGCTAATGAAAAGTAATTACGATAAATACTCAACGTGATATCCTTAATTAGGTCGCTCTGTAAACAGTAGAATGTTTATCGAGCGCGATCTCCATTGATGTAATTGTACAACGCGTTAACTGCAGATTGGATTGTATTTACTAAAACGTGTTGACAAATGGTTGCCCTACTTTGACCTCGTGCGTAACCAAGACTGCCACATAGTCAGTGAAAGGATCAGTTATAAATTGCGCAGTTAGTATGATGGTGAGAAAAATGTCAACGTAGCAGTTCGCGTGAAAATAAACCTACTTGAAACATAACATTCTTCTTATTGATTTAGTAATAAAATCGGTTTATCGACGCTTCGTTGCCATTCACCGCGATCGCACTGCTGTTTTTAATTTCGAGAGAGAACAGAACTTAGTGTATCCTCGTTCGGAACACAATAAATCAAAATACAGACTTACTCCTCCGTTCTAATGAATCTTAAACTTTGATCGACTCAGGAATTATCCGCATTTGAAACGAGCTACAAGAACCGCCGTTCAAATAACGGGTAGTTTGTTTCCCCCATTCATTGATAGTCAAAATATGATTATACATCGCCATCTGCCCAGAAAACAAACGTTACCGGTAACTGGCTAGCGCTGTGTTATCACCATACTTGTCAGTATCTTGTATCACTAAAGCTAACATCTGTACCAGTATGTGAAACAAGAACTAAGGCGTCATAACAATTTAATATAATATATATCGGCGCCAGTTTTTGTTAATAGTATCATTCCACGACTTACCAGTGACATTTTGCACGTCTAATTCTTGGACTATGGCTTCCATGTCTGTGTCGTGAATAAACGTCACTATAACTCTAATCTCGGGGTTTTCTCGGATGCGGTTGACTACTTCTTTCACCTCCATGTGGCTTGCCTGGTTTCGAATCAGCTCACTAAATGCAACGCAGATGTTTCTTACCTCAGCTTCCCGCTCGAATTGCTCTATCCCGTAGCGGCCATAGTCATCATCGGTTGCTAGAGTCCCGACAGCGTTCCACCCAAAATGTTCCACGATTTCAGCCATAGCTTTTGCTTGGAGTTCGTCACTTGGGATGGTGCGGTAAAATGATTTGTAACGGGATTTATTACTCAGTAGCGGACTCGTGGACGCGTAGCCAACAAGTGGTATATTCAATACACCGAGTGTACTGGCTACCGGCATGGTTACGGACGACATTCCCGCGCCGATGACCGCTTTAACCGCCATTGAATCGTTACGCACGGTCATCAGCACGAAATCTAATGCCTTGTCCATAGCCTGCGAAACCGAATCGCATGTGTCTCTAATGTCGTAGCCAAGTGTGATATTCGGCAAAATGTCTTTCCTATTGTTGATCTCCTCCACGGCGAATATCATAGCCTCTGCCCATTGGAAAACCTCCACGTTGAACGACTCGCATCTTTCTTTGATTGGACCTGATTTGAGAGTGTCGTCGGTACGTACCATACTGGAATGGAAGGGAAATAATCCACCGAGCATTATGTCCCCGGGTAGGTAAACTTTTTCTGATGTCACCTCGCTGTGGACTATCGTGAACATGAGAAAACAAGCGGGAATCCAAGCGCATAGCGACATACTGAATATAGACGGTAGCTTTCCTTACCTGCGTACGTGCTCAGGTGAATCGACCACAGCAGTGAAACACGGAACTCCCATACGCTTGTGTTCATAAAGATTTGTTGCAATATATCTTTCACCTGGTTCCTGTCATTGCCGGCTATTTTCGTTTCCTAAGTAAAAACCGAGGCAGATGACATACGCAGATAGTAGAAAAGGTAGTTCTTGTTGACGATGTATAAAACAATATATACTTGCGATAGTTCCCAAGAAATGTGCTCTCTGTTTAGTAATTCCGACAGTGAATGTAGTGTGACCGGTATATAAATAAAAAAAAACACGCCTACTGATTTCCTCTGCACTGGGACACGACGTATACAACGACAACGGTAACAAACCTGGAGGATGCGTTTGTACCAAACTGTATTACCGCACACTTGGTTCAAAGAGTAGTTCAATGAGACAGACGGTGTTGTAGCCCGGCTTCTAGTCGTTCTTGAAATCCGCTACTTGCATTGGCGATACACACAATGCTTTGCCACAGCTACAAATGCGGCAGTCGCTCCCATGCTGAAGCGAGGCGAAGTCACGTGTTCACGCGTTGCCATGGCATGTATCAGCTTAATGTGGGTCGCCGTTAGTATTGCGATAAAAGAAATGCGACAGCGCCTGTTATCCATAATATAATAAATCACTTTGAAGTTCACGAGCGACGATTACATTCCAATGTCAATGCTGTTAACATCCCAGTTTTATTCTGGATGCAAATTCATTGTACATAAACATGATTGACTTTGTAAATGTGATTAACCAATCTCCTAGATGAGCGCATGCGGCGTAGAACTTGTGTAAGAGCACCAATACCGTTTATACACATAATTGACGTGACAAGTCCAACGTCCTAACATTTATGGACACAGTATTATTTCTACCGGGGTGATTAAGACTCGTATTTTAATAATATGAATTATACATATCATCACACATTCTGGCCCACTCTGGGGGTCATAAGCACTTACTAGCAATGAGAATGTATCTTGATTATATTTTGCAAAAAAATCGAACAATTAATATGATATTACAAAATATTCTTGTTGTTGGACAAAAATTCTCCCAGAAAGCGCAGGGGTGTGTGACCTTCAGGGGTCATTCATTATAACAATTCGTTAATCTCAGTATTATGTTGCTGCATATACACATTTTATCGAGCGAAACGTGTACTAATATGGTATGTAGGTGTCAGCGTTGTCCGGTAATTCCGACAAATGATTGCCCGCTCATGTACACGTGTTGTATTATTCTTTCATTGACTCCTACGATTAAAGTTAGGTGGCCTTGTCGGTTGTATGCGAAACTGTGTTCTGACCGCCATATATTATCTGATTCGTGAGCACGTTGCTCGCTTGGTTTTGCAGTAAAATGCAAGGTTTTACAGTGAGCAACGAAATCCTTGTTACCCACCATGCCATGCGCACACTGCATGCGCCATAGCTCATATGTATACTGAAGCTCACATGACAACGTTAATTTGTATATACAGCGGATTTGAAATGAAAATAATTAAAATTAAGTTGAGCGTGGTATTTGAAGGTGCCGAGTTTAATTATTTCTGCGAACAAAAAATAAATGTGTTTGGTTTTGCATACCATTGAAATAATGATCGTCATATGCTTCTCCAGCGCACGCCATTGTACTGAAAAGGTTC